ATGTAGGAGACTGACAGATACTATTTTTTACTTTCGTTCATGTTGTACTCTAAGTGATTAGAATATTACAAAATCTTATAGAACTAAAACATGGTCCAAGTAAGCCTTATGGAAACATTGCTTTTCGCAATAAAATTTCGACCTCCCGTTTGCGAAGAGCAGATGACGTCCAATCTATAGAATCTTACGGTGAGGCAACATAGAATAGAATGCGAACTTGTACCTGCCACGGCATTCATTCTGTGAAAGCCAGCCATGAGTTCTGAACGGTTGATTAACAGTGTGATGGTAACCGGTGGGTTGATCAAACTTCTAGAGTGGTTTTAAACATGGTTCTGTCTTGAAGAGACAGAGATATAAATTATAAACCCATCGGAAAGATTGGGTTACAGTTCCCAGAAGCTTTCAAACACAACCTGGCGAGACTTGATCCTCGTTCTGTAACCTATGACCAAAGGATAGCGTTCCATAGGCAGATCAGATGGAAGAGCAAGATAATGATATCAGTGGTCTGTCTCGCAGGCATTTCTTGCTTAATCCATTGTTTCGAATTTTCATAAGGATGTGCTTGGTTCATAGCATTTTGAGTGATGCTGTATTGCACCCACGCAGTGTCAATGCTTAAACGCTACGAGGCAATGATGACCAGCTTCAATATTTCTCTTAGGGCTCTAGAAACAAGAGTCGGTGCAGCACTACTATGCAATAAGTCGTAATGGCGTGTATCCTAAGTTATTACAGAAGAATTTGTGCAAACCAAAATTTCAAGGAAGAAAGCTAAATCTGAATTTTATGGAATGCTAATGTTCCTTCCTTTTCACTGATTAGCTCTCCTTGTAGCATTTTCCATGAATGTGAAAAAAAAGTAACCTCCCTCAAAAAGAAAAAAACTTGTTGCTCGACCGGAATGTAAGTCCGTTGTTCTTCAATTGCTAGTTCAGTTTGCCCGCAACACCTAGATGTTGTGACGAATAAGCAGTTAGTGTTTTAAAGTAACCTTCTAAAAATCTATGATTTTTGGATTTCATTTACTGAAACGATTCTATTTTACTATAGTTGCGAATGAAACAACAAATATGATATTTATGAAGAAATGGCTCAATGGATTAAATCTTAAAGCATCGATTGATCAAAAGTCACATGACCATGTTTTTAATTTTTTGTTGCTCCTCAAGCTCTTCTCTGGATAAAAAGTCAGATGCACGGCTTAGACCACCAAAGAGATGTTTAGAATTAAAATTACGGTGCGTTTCGTCGTGTACAACCCGTGGTCAAGGCGAATTGCTGCTATAAGGCGTACGTATTAGACAACGTTAGCTCAGTGTTCAAGCTTTAGCATGGCAACGCCAGATGATCACGTGTCCCATCGTCCACTGATGGCCCGTTTCTCAGCTGATTTCATCAAAGCACCGTGGGGAGGGGTGAATTTCTCGGTTGATGAAATTTTCGATTCAGAAGAAAAACTTATGCAGTGTCTGCATTCAAATTTGCAGTGCTAAAGTGCAAAGCGGAACGACCGTGCCCTAGGCCTTATGCCCATAGCGAATGTTCTGCCATTTTGAATGAGTCATTTGTCCTTTCCGTGAGTTTCGAGGATAAATTATAGAGTAATAGTCAAATATTACTTGACTAAGCGAACGTTCAACTTTAAACCATGAGCGGGTCCATGTCCTACGATTTATTCATTTTGGCTCTTGCAATCAAATTCGTTGCTATTGTTAAGATATTGACGTTATGATGTGACGACATTTGCATATGACAATTCCAGAGAGAGCTTTTTTTAAACATGGGACGGTTGCTTTTTTTGAATGCATATGAACGTGAATTTAACCTATGGATGAGATATGATCACGACAGAATCGTCATCGTTTGTCGATGAAATTTTGAATACGTATTTATGTTTGTGTATGTCCGAGATGACGGTCAAAAATAAGACCAGAGCACCGTAAATCCTGCTTTAAGTTCTTACTAAGCTTTTTATGGAATAAATACGTCAGGTAGAGCTAGACAGCTAAAATGTGGAGGACATCTAGAGGAGGTGACTCTGATCACCTCAAGAACTATCTACCAATCACATTTCTTTCGTAAAGCAACAGAGTCCTCACCCGCATCATCTTGAACCACACCTGGAAGGGCCTCGATCTAATCACAAGTCCGAACAAGCCGGCGGTCTTACACGGCTTTCTACCATCGATCATATTCATATGCTCTAGCAGCTGACGGAGATTGCAACGAATATCAAATACTGCTCTGTGTGGCTGTCACTGACTGCAAGAAGACGTCTGATTCAATTGAATTGGCGGCTGTGTTGAACGTCTGACAGGGGTATGGCCAAAACACTGTCTATGACAACATGATCGAGAAATTGGGCACCGGTTGCACGACTGACATCTAGCTCTCTTACGAGCATCCACTGAACTGTGGGCGAAAGAGATATCATCTCAAGAACATTCGTTGCTGCGACCCCGGAGTCATTCTTCGACCGGTAAAAGTCAAATGAGGGAATCGGCATCGACAGAAAGCAGCGAACGCGCTTGTTATTTGCGGAAAACTCTATCGTCCTCGCTCCAGCGGAAGTTTCAGCAGTTGGGAAATAAGTCTCTCATGTTTAAAATGGAGGTTAACCTCTTCAAGACGGAATGAATGACGAAGGAGCACTGCCCCAAAAACTCTGTCCACGTGAAAGGATCATTCGAAAAATCTATCAGCTTTGTTTGCCTTGGTTATCTGATGAACCGTATGAAATCTGTAAATGAAAAGAAATAATAAGAAGGATTGCAGAACTCTGGGCAGGATTAGTCGTACAGAAACGTCGTCATTTTGCAATCAGAAGATGCACATGTTTGATTTAACCGCCCTACCCACCACGATCCGCAGAACCAAATGTTGGTCTGCTTCTAAAGCTGGGGACAAGAGACTGATCGTGACGCAGACAGCGATGAAACGAAAAATGTGCAAGGTATCCTTCAGGGACCACCACCTTCTTGGTGCATCATTTCGATACTGGACTGAATCAACAGACGTAATTTCTGCCTTCTAAGACGCCAAGGGAAGATGGGTCGGTTATGCGGTTCGCCTCTGAGGCAACCGATGGTTTTAACTGAGTTTGGCTGGCTCCCTAGCATCCAGTCGGTCGTCCATGAGAGCCAAATTATTTGGTCATCGAGAGGCAGAAAGAGGACACCTGCAAAAATAATGGAGGAACGTAAAGAGTTGCACTCGTGACGAGGACACCTCGCAGTGCAAATCATTTATATTGCAAAAGACAAAACAAAAGACAGACCCAGCGTGTTCTCGTTTAACATTTCATGCACAGGGAATTGCAGGTCGCGAAATGCAAATAATTGTCGCTATTTAATTAGCTCCTTTTTAGCCTCAGTTCGTCAGGTCCGTTGAAAGAAAGATTCCTCTCCAGACACAGATATCTGGTTTTTGTTTTTTCATACTAAATATGTGAAATCAGCAGAAAACTAAACATGGTATGGAGCATTTTTGGAGACTGAAAATGTTCTTATCCGGGAAACTGTTTGAGTGCTAAAAATGGACAATTTTCGATCATAGTATCCTACCAGTGCTAATCTATGGGTGAGAAACGGGGACCTTAAACTTGAAAACTAAAGCTATTCATTAACTGCAAACAACGCAACGCAGAAAAGAAAAAAATCCGAATTGGGAATGACAAGAAGAGGTTGAAACACGGATGACTGGATAAAGGCACAGAAAATTTTACGATGTCTTAGTCCTAGTGTAAAAATTAAAATGACATCTTTACAAGAGACGTTAGACTGTGTTCCAAGAGAAGAGAGTTAACGGCCTGCAGGAAGACCTTCAAACAGATAACAGGATAGGTTGGATAAGTTCGTTGGATTAAGGTGTATGAAAATGGCAGCAAACAGAAATCTGTGGCGAAGGCTTGGAGACCCCTCCTCCAGGGGTAGATCATCAAAAGCTGATGATGATTTTGAATATTGTTCCCTGAATGACGACTGTCTTGTCTTAATTAATTAATCCATTGTTTAATGCTGACTATGCAATGCCAGCAGCGTATTAATATACAAGTTCGAACGCTGAATATGTTCATTGGCGTATAACTCCTTTAATATAAGGCTTCCGTGCTGTTTTTATTGATGAGAACCGGCTTCACGAATTATAAGAAATCTTCGTCACATAGTGCAATAATGGATGATTGCTGTGAATTGAAAAGGGTAAGTCAAAGTCCTATGACCACATAGATGGTTTTCATGAAAATCTCATGCAATGTTTCAGTATAACCCTGATCAGCCTGGCGAGCCGGCAGTTTCACGATCTTCTCGCACTTTTCTAATCGCCCTGAAAATTGCTACGCTTATTGAATCCTTTCAGATGTTATCAATAATTTATAATTTGAAGTGTTATTAAAGTCTCACGGAAAACATCGTAGTTCTCTGTATCTAAGAAATTCATAATGAATATGTCGACAGAGTCAGTAAGACTGCGGTACTACAATGTGTACTTTCTTAGTTATCCCCTCAAAACATTTTTCATCGATGAGTTTTATCATGTCGAAAACCGCTATTTCCTGACTTAAATCTGGATTAAAGCGCATCTGAGTATTTGAGAATGATTACATGATTTTTGCCTAAGAGAGCGGAGTTCCACAGGCTCTGAACGCCGAACGACCACAGGCTCTGTCCACACGAATGGTGAAGAACCTCGTTGTTGCGATTTCCTCAGTCATCAAGTTGACCGCATGAACTCTACAGGCGAAGAAAATCAGTGAAGAAACAAGCCATGTGCAGCCTCATTAAAACAGCGTTACAACCTCATTAAAAACGAGGTGCATATGCGGGCAAAGAAACGAGTGTTCGACTCAACCGCCCTTCTTGCCGTCATCTACGGCTCTGAATAGTCATTTGCTAGCTATCAGAGTCGAGGACAGCGAATTGATGGTCAGGCAAATGGCAACGCAGGTATCGATATGCAAAGTCCACCTCTGGGACAAATGCCGAAGAGGGCGGCTTCGAATTCCGAAGATGCCAGATTCGATTCTGCTTCAGGGCAATCCTTGTCCTATTCACGAATTCCGTTGAGCAAGCAATTTACCAAATGTTCTCTCAGACTGGGGTTGCTCAGTCGATACAGCGTCGAACTCAGAGCTGAGAGGTCCTGAGTTGCAGCCATGATCAAGGTCATTTGCCTTTCTTTCTTGGGAATGAAAGAAAACAGGCCACGCGCTACACTTGCCACATCACACTAGAACATGTTTTTAAATAAATAAGACACTCTTGGCTGATGGCATGCACATGGACATAAGATGTATAAAAAGAAAGACGCCAGAAATTGATACGACCATGAGGAATACGATGTGCTACTATCGATATGAATAATTATACATAAAAA